TTTTCTTGGCAACATTTTTGGAAGTGGTTTGCCATTGCCTCCTTCCTAGGGCTGAGAGAGAATAACCGGCCCAAGATCACCCAGATGGCTTTGTGTCATATTCGAGACTACAAGTTATGGTCTCCCAGGTTCTAGCCTGGTGCCTTAACCATTGCACCCAACTGGCTTTCTATCAGTACATTTACCATAACATAAAATATAAAATAAAAATTCCTTTTCATCAAAGGGACAATATGCTTCTTTCAGGCCTGCTTTCTGAAATAGATGATTGACGTTAAAAACATACAGATGTTGTTTAGAAGAGCAACTCTAAGAAATTCACAGCTCAATGTTCTAGACTAATTATTCTGTTATTGAGATATACTAATTTCTGGAAAGTCACTTAATAGAATGGAGATGAATTAAAAGGATAGGATTCAATACTAATAAGTAGCTTTATACTCATGTGCTCCGTTCCCCTGCACACATTTTGTTAAGTTTTTAAAAATTGCATTAAACCAATCTCCAGGATGTGCTAGTTTTTCCTGCCATGATGGGAAATGAATAGCAATTTTGAACAATAGCATTGCCAAAATTCTGATGCAGCCTCATAAAAGTAGTTCTTCCTCATGCCTGTCTCTGAGAATTTCCAACTTTCCAGAACAAAAGTGCCCCCTTTCTGTGACCCAAAACTTCTGTTAGTGGAAAGACACTAATTGGATCTCACCAAAGTGTTTAACTGATTGTCTTTGGCATTCAATCGCACCCCAAATTGATTAATAGCTTAGATTAATGATATTATCAGGTGTTCCAAGAAAACAGTCAAAACAGCTTGATCACCTACTGAGAAAACACTGTTTGCTGAACAACCTATTTTTAGATCAATCCAGTTTCTCTGTAACATTTTCTGATAGGAGAGAGAAAGAAAGGGCTAGCTTTTCAATTCTCTCTGTAGTCAATCAAATACTAAGAAAGAAAAATGCATCAGAGTTACTTTCTTAAATATGTACTTTCCTTTTTCATTTCTGCAGATGATCATAGTCGAGTGAAACTAAGACCTTTACCAGGAAAAGATTCAAAGCACAGCGACTACATTAATGCCAATTATGTTGATGTAAGTTGTTTTGTTACTTCCTCAGATCTCTTGAGAAATATTGTCCCTCAGAAGAAATAGAAACTCTTAATGCATGTAGAACTTTTCCAACTTCAGTTCCAAACTCCTCAAACGTTCAGTAAGAAAGATCTGTTGCTGAGATGTATACATTATTAATATGATTGTTGTGCAGATATTTTTATCTTACGTACCATTGTGATTTCCTTTGAAGGGTTACAACAAAGCGAAAGCCTACATTGCCACCCAGGGCCCTTTAAAGTCAACATTTGAAGATTTTTGGAGAATGATTTGGGAGCAAAACACTGGAATTATCATCATGATTACAAATCTTGTGGAAAAAGGAAGAGTAAGAGGAATAGCATGCATTTATTGTAATAGCATTTTTCTCAGTTCTCGCCAGAAATGTGTGAGCTTTCTTCAGATTTGTTAAGGAGTTGAATTGGTTTCATTGTAAGGTAAACTGTAATAGTAAATCACTATATGTAGCAGATTTCATTCCTGTTCTCGGGTAACCTGTAACAGACATGACATGAAAATAGTTTATTTCTATACTAATATAATATTCTCAACTGTTTGCTAGGGGCTCCTTTAACTTGTTCAGGCCACTTTGGCACCTTTCTATCACTATCCAAGAATCCTAGATTTGGAACAATCCTTAAATATACTCTAAGGCAGTGTTTCTCAACCTTGGCGCCTTTCAGATATGTGGAG